AGCCAGCTCCTGGGATAGCAAAGGCGCAAAGGCAGCACGTACTGCAGCTCTCCTCATCCGAGTTGTCCCCGCAGTCGTTGTCGTAGTCGCACTGCCAGCGGCCCGGCACGCAGCGGTTGTTCTTGCAGCGGAACTGGTAGGGCTCACAGGTACGTTCGTCTGGGAGGGATGAGACAGGGACAGGCATCAGCACTGCCCAGCACCAGGGGAGGGATGGGAATTCCAGCTAGCAGGGCTGCTCTCTGCCAGCCCCCCTCCGACCCGACCTGCCCGCGCGGTTCGGGAAAGGGAGCAGCCAAAACCTCCTCCAGCCCCAGGCAGCCTGACCCTCGGGAAGGAGGGGAGCACAAGGTGCCCACCGGGCTCGTCTCCCCAGTCCCTGCTCACCGCATTCCTCCTTGGGCTCATCGGATCCATCCCCACAGTCGTCCTCTCCGTCGCACTTCCAGCGCGCTGGGATGCACCTGCCCGAGTCCTTGCACCGGAATTCGTCCACACCACAGGTCATTTGTGCTGGTGGGGAGAAACAAGAGGACACGGACATCGGGGGGGGAAGGTTGGGTTGGTGTTGGCCAGGCACATCTCTTCCTCTGCAGGGCTGATGGACACCTTGTGCCAGCAGCCTGGAGGTGGCTGCAGCACCCCTGCTTGGGGGCAAGACCCCCCCACCCTTTCAAGCAGTTCTCCAGGGAGAGAGGACTATGTCAGCGGGACAGATCCAGGCAGAGCCCATTGCCTGCAGCACCTGCAGGGCAGCTCCCGGTTTTGGTGTGACCACACGCACCCCACTTCTCCCCGCACAAGGTTCTTACTGCAGTTGGCGGGTTCGTCCGAGCCATCCACGCAGTCGTTGTCCCGGTCGCAGACCCACACGCGGGGGATGCAGCGCTTGGTGATGGCGCACTGGAACTGGTTGGGGGCACAGGTCACCTCCGCTGCAGGAGGGAGAAGCAGCGTCAGGAGAGGCAGTGGGGTAAGCAGGGGGTCTGCTGGTCACCACCCCCCAAAAAACACCCCACAGAGAGGAGAGGCAGGCGGATGCGCGGGGCATCGCGAGGGGTGACCACGTGCATGGAGGCGGGGGGTGAGCCCTGTGGTGGCCCCAGAAGCCTCGCCCAGCTGCAGGGAGAGGGCAGAAGCCACGAGATCCCTCAGCTGTGCAACAGGCTCAGTGCAAATCCATGGCAAGTACTGAACTTGCCACTCCGAGGGATTTAAGGATTTCATTCCCACTAGGACAGAAATGGCAGCAGGGTGAGGGTGGACAGAGGCTCTACACAGAGCAGAGGTCCATGCCCAGGGCAGGACCACCCAGAAGCCAGCCTGCAGAGAAGCCAAAACCCAAACCCAGGGCTCTGACGCAGCACTGAGCTGGTCCCCCCTCACCGGGCACACTCTCCATCCCTAACACACGCAACAGCTCCCCGCTTACGGCAGTCCTTCTCATCCTCGCCGTCCCCGCAGTTGTCCTGCCCATTGCAGCGGAAAATGCCAGGGATGCAGCGGTTGGTGTTGGTGCATTTGAACTGGCTGGGCAGACAGACGTGGATATCTGGGAAGGGAGGGAGCACAGTCAAAAGCTGATGGGCTGCATCTCTGCCAGGGGTTTGAGGGCCACGAGGGGAGGTGGAGAACCTACCGCAGTTGGCTTCATCCGAGTTGTCCTGGCAGTCGTTGTCTCCATCGCAGATGAAGGCTGGGTTGGTGCAGATCCCAGTGGAGCACTGGAACTGCCCCGGTCTGCATTTGAACTCAGCTGTGGGGAGAGTAAGAGAGGGTGAAACATAGAATCATAGAATGGTTTGGGTTGGAAAGGACCTTAAAGATCATCTAGTTCCAACCCCCCTGCCATGGGCAGGGACACCTTCCACTAGACCAGGTTGCTCCAAGCCACATCCAGCCTGGCCTTGAAGACATCCAGGGATGGGGCATCCACAACATCTCTGGGCAACCTGTCCCAGTGCCTCACCACCCTCTCTGTGAAGAATTTCTTCCTGATATCTCATCTAAACCTCCCTGATTTCAATTTGTACCCATTACCCCTTGTCCTGTCACTACAGGCTCTTGTAAAAAGTCCCCCCCAGCTTCCTTGTAGCCCCTTCAGATACTGGAAAGCTGCAATGAGGTCTCCTCGGAGCCTCCTCTTCTCCAGGCTGAACAAGCCCAATTCTTGCAGCCTTTCGTCATAGCAGAGGTGCTCCAGCCCTCTGATCATCTCCGTGCCCTCCTCTGGACTCGCTCCAAGTGGTCAATATCCTTCTGATATTGAGGGCTCCACAGCTGGACGCAGCACTCCAGGTGGGGTCTCCCCAGAGCAGAGTACAGGGGCAGAATCCCCTCCCTCGCCTTGCTGGCCACACTGCTCTGGATACAGCCCAGGATACACATCTGCTCTGGGGATCATTTTCAGGGTGAACATTAACCTCCCGCTCCCCCCTCAGGGGTCCTCAGCAGGGACTGACCCCCAGCACCCAACCCCGGGCTTTGGCACAGCGAAGGGGCAGCTCTGCCCCGAGAGCAGCAGTTGGCTGTTGTCCTCCACGGGGCAATGCCTCACGCAGGGACAGCATGTGCCCCACCATTCTCTGAGCCCTATTAACGGGGTAACCCCTCTCTCCGCTGGAGCTGAGCAGGGAGCAGCAGCACAGCTTTGGGAGACCAGCTCCAGAGAGCACGCGGATGCTGCAGGGCTGGCAAGAGCGGAGCAGCGTGGCCGGGTGCTGGGACACCACGGGCTGCGGGCAGCCCCACTCGGCACTCACGGCAGTCCTCGGGCTCGTCCGAGCGGTCCCCGCAGTCGTCCTCGGTGTCGCATTTCCACCAGAAAGGGATGCACTTGTCGTTCTTGCAGACAAACTGCAACGGACAAACTTGTGAGGGTGGCTGGGGATGGGGAGGGAGGACCCCAGAAGCGTTGTCACCAGGGAACTCTGCCAAGTGCACTGATCTCTGCTGCCCCTTCCCATGCACCCCCAGAACACTCTGTGTCCTGACCTGGAGCAAAGCCACAACCCTGAGCCCACCCTCTGGGGTTTGGGGGAGGCGGGCAGGTCATTTCAGAGCCGGAGGGTCTGTGGCTCCCCTGGGCACCCCCAAAAACGACTGCAGTCTGTATGTGCTGGGAAGTGCCACAGGAGGGAGGTGTTGCCCGTGCACGGAGAAGGCGTGCGCCCACCCGCACCCAGATTCGCACGAGCAGAGGAGCTGGGACCCGGGGAAGCCGCAGCAGGAGGGACACGCACGCGAGCACAGGCACACGCTCGCCCCACGGGGAGATGTCAGCGTGGTCGGGTGCAGGCAGGTTGTTACCTGGCTGGCCGTGCAGTTGGAGACGCAGGTTTTGCCGTCGCTGCCCAAGTAGAAGTTGGTGGGACAGGCACATTTGTGCCCCCCGCCCGGCGAGAGGAGACAGAGGTTGCTGCAGCCAGCGTTGTTGGTCTTGCAGGGATGGTTGGGAACTGGGGAGAGCAGGGGTACAACTGCGTGTCAGACCCTCAGGGTGGCACATGGACCCCCAGCTGCAAGACTCATCTCACCATGCACCACCCTCCCTGGCCCAAGGGCTGCTCCCCAGCCCCACGGTCCCTGCCCCACAGCTCCCCGTCAGGCTGGCGGTAGGGGTGGTAGATGTGGATGTCCATGGGGCGGTGCAGCGTGCTGATCAGCAGGGTCTTGTTGGCTCCCGTGGTCTTGTGCGCCCGGTTAATGGACTTGGTCTCCCAGTCGGTCCAGTAAATGAAATCCTCAAAGAGGGTGAGTGCAAAGATGTGTGGGATGTCCTGGCTCAGCACTGCAAGGGGGAGCGGGCAGCTCAGCAAGGGGGTGCCCCATGCCATACCCCCCTATGGCACAGCTTTCTCCTCAGCCAGGGAAGAAACCCCTTTCCCTGGCACAGAGGAGCTGCTGGAGCTGGGGACTGTACGAGGCAGCTCCGGCTCCTGCTCCCACAACCACCCCAAAGCCCACCTCCCAAAAAAGGTCTGGAGGCACCCCGGGAGCCCTGGCACTCTCACCCGTGTGCCGGTTGGAGCCGTCCAGGCTGGCAAACTCGATGTAGTCCTCCCGCGCATCAGCCCAATAGATCCGGCTGTTGATGTAGTCGAGGGTGAGGCCATTGGGCCAAGTTATCTTGGTGTCAACGATGACGCTGCGGTTGGTGCCATCCATGCCGATCTTCCCGATCAGGGAGTGGTCCCCCCAGTCTGTCCAGTAGAGGTAACTGGGGATGAAACAGAAGAGGGAGGACTAAGCCTGGTCCAAGCTGCAGCATTTTGCCCGTTGTGTGGCTGAACCGAGGTGCCTGGGCACAGGGGTACAGGGCAGAGAGAAGCAGCCATGTGTCCCAGAGGCGAGGAGGGAAGCCTTCATCCCATCTCCCAGCCTCCAGGACTATGGCAAGACAGCAGAGGGGCAGCCAGCCCCTGTAAATTGGGGAAGGTCCAGGTCCCCAGGGCTCTCACCCGTTCTGCACATCCACCACCAGCGCCCGGGGCTCCCGCAGCCCTGAGTTCACCAGCACGGTGCGGTAGGCCCCGTTGAGCTTTGACACTTCGATGGTGTCCCGACCTTTGTCGCACCAGTACAGGTTGCCTCCCACCCAGTCCACAGCCAGCCCGTCGGGATTGCTGAGGCCGGTGCGGTGAAGAACCTGCCGGGAGAAAAGAGATGTTGGGGCTGGAGAGGGAGAACCAGACCCTGCCCTGGTCCCTCAGGGATGACAACATCCCCTTCCCAACACACGGCCCCTGCAGATGGTCCTGCCCAGCTCCTTTCCTCACTCCTCTCTTCCCTCAACCCTCTTTGCCACTGCTGTGGGGCAGCGTGGAGCCCATCTCGGACCGGGATGGTGCTGCAAAACACCCTCGCAGCAACCTGGGTGCTCTGAGCCCAGTGATGACCCCACAGCAGACCCCACACCTCTTCCCCAGTGGCCCTGGTGCTGGTCTGGGCCCCTCCAGGCAGCCTCTCGGTGCCGGAGGTGGGCAAGGACCAGCTGCCCGGACCTGGGGGGCTGCCTCAGTCCCCCACCTGATCGTTGCTCCCGTTGATGTGCATGCGGCGGATCATGCTGCCCTGCGTGGTGACATCTGTCCAGTAGATCATCTGCTCCCGATAGTCGAAATCCAGAGCCACTGCATTGTTCAGCCCCTGGGAGGAAGGGAGGAGGCAGCTAGCACAGGGTCACGGGCGTTTTAGGAAGACCAGCGAGCCCCCAGCCTCAACTCCCGGTCCTTGCAGCAGGGAAGTTAAAAGCACCTACAGACAGCTGCTGTCGTGCCCCTTCCTTATCAAGATCTGCTACCAAAGAGCTTCTGTTTTCATCGGCTCTCCGGCAGCCTCATGGTTATACAGGATCTACCCTCTGCCTGGGAAGCCCAGACTCCCAGGCTGGCAGGTCTGGAGCCCTGCCGGGCCCCCCTCCCTCCCGACTCCCCCCGCACCTGCTTGAGCAGCGTGTAGTTGGAGCCATCCAGATTGAGCTTCCTCAGGTAGTACCGGTTGGCAAAGATGAGGAAGGGCTCTTCATCTGCACAGGGAAACCACGAGACATGTCAGGGAAATGCTGCCTGGGATGGGGCAGACCCCTTGCAGACCCACTGCCCTCCCTACCCCACTGCTTCCCAGCTCTCCTTCACGAGTCAGGTGCAGCTTGGGAAGCACCGTGCCCGACTCCAACGCCAGCAGCATCCCGAGGTTGCCAGAAGAGCATCCCCGCCTCCACGTCCGCTCCTGGCTCTTACCTGTGACAGCTTTGCAGCTGGTGGGGTTGTCAGGTTTGAGCTTGTAGCCCTCTATGCACAGGCACTTGTAGCTCCCCAGCGTGTTGATGCACTTCTGGCTGCAGGGGTAGGTGGTGGAGCACTCGTCGATGTCAATGCACGTCTTCCCATCGTCCTTCAGCCGGAACCCAGGACGGCATCTACACTGCAGGAGGCAACCCGGAGCTGTTAGACACATCCAGGACCTGCACGCTGGGATGTGACAGGCTTCACCACGGGACAAATGGGCTCAGGCACAGGCAGCTTGCAGATTCGAGAGCAGCACACACCAGCACGGGCCAAAAGCGCCCGCGTGGGCATCCCTTCCCCAGCCGGTGCAGGACAGAAACAACCCTCACGCTGAGAGTGTCCGTGGAGGAGGGAGTGGGAGAACACCTCCAGCCAACCCTCCCAGCCTGCAGACCCCTACCTTGTACCCGATCTTGAGGTCCTCACACTCCTGGGAACAGCCGCTCAACTTCTTGTTGAGACACTCGTTGATGAAGCAGTTGAGCTCGTCGGAGCCGTCCGCGCAGTTGTTGTTGTTGTCACACAGCAGCGCCTCCGGGATGCACTTCCCGTTCTTGCAGAGG